AGAGAGAGAGAGAGAGAGAGAGAGAGAGAGAGAGAGAGAGAGAGAGAGAGAGAATGTGGAGTTGCATGAAAGTGGAGGTGGGGAGACTCTGTGAGGGGTTGGCGAAGAGGGAGGTATGATCATAATATATTATATTACTTCCTTTTTCTTTTGCAGTTAAAAGAAGACAATGGCTGGGCTGGAAAGATGGCTCCGAGTTAAAGAGCACTGTCTGATCTTCCAGAGCTCTTGAGTTCAATTCCCAGCAATTAATGGTGGCTCACAGCCTATCCTGGAATATGATGCCATCTTCTGGCATGCAGGTATACATACAGATAAAACACTAGTATACATAAAAATAAACAAACAAACAAACAAACAAATAAATCTTAAAAGGGGGGCTGTAGAGATGGGTCAGCAGTTAAGAGTACTTGCTACTCCTCTAGAGGTTCTGAGTTCAATTCCCAGCAACCACATAGTAGCTCACAACCATTTATAATGGGATCCAATGACCTCTTCTGGTGCATCTGAAGACAGCTACAAGTGTACTTGTATACGTTAAATAAATAATATTTTTTTTAAAAACGAAGACATGTTATTGGTAATGTTAGAAAATTGTCAGTATCTTATGGTTCCATTTTATATGTAGGAAAATAGTTCATCTGAGATAAAATCAGAAACATGCAACAGCAGAGAGAGGAAGTGAAATATGTAAGTGGTTGATGGACATTCAACATTTCAGCCAAGATTCAGACAGAAATGGGCACAGAGAAGATGTGCCTAGAAATCATGTCTCTGAGAGGCTGATCTCTGAGCTGCCAAGCCCACATTTGTCTGAATCAAGTTTGAATTTTCCAAATCCTTTGTTATTTGAACAAAGTAGGTGTGCCAAGATGCCGGAAGCAGAAGGTTTTTTTTGTTTTGTTGTTTTGTTGTTTTTTTGTTTTTTTTTGCGTGCAGAGAGTCCTCACTAGCCTGTAGCTCCTTTCCCTCTTCATTCTATAATCAAGCTCAGAGACTGAGAGTGGGTCTCCGCTCAAGTGTGCTTACTTTGGTTGGAATTGCTAAGTACTGTTTAGATTCACCTTTTAGAAAGGCTTTTATCTCCGGTTTCCCCTGGCTCCTGTCATGGCAGCCCCACACTTTACAGTTACTCTGGAAAACGCTCTTTTCTTATTTGAAGTCAGCTCTGTCTGAGAACAGCGTTTACCGAACACTCATTATAGAAGGACATTTTTTCTTCTTGGGAGGGAGAGGACACCCTGATGCTGGATGTGCCATAGCCTCCTGTGGGATTAGCAAAGGTCCTTTTCTTCCCAGACGTGTCTCCTATTGTTTATGGTACTGACATCATCCTGTACTTTTCTCAGGATTCCCAGAACCTGGAAGATACTTACTGCTAAATAGCTGCCAACTACTATCACTCTGTTAAATATTTGAAATATAGTTAACCAAGTGTGTGTATTATTTTTAAGTTGTCTTACTGCCATTTAACTTTTCTGCGTTTGTATTTTATGGTAGATTCCACTGGAGCACAATTGAAACAAATAAAGAAACAAACAAGCAAACAACAAGAAACTTGCGTGACCATGACTTTGCCAAATCTTTCTGGAACTACATCATCTCTTTTAAGAACTGTTTGGCTTGGATATTGTTCAAATGGTCATCTAGTTCTTCACTTTGTTTTATTTACTTTATTTTGATGTGTGATTAAGGCCCTAAAGCCCAGTTGGGTCCTTGTTCTTGTTTGTGATCATAATGGTAGAATTGAACTAGTTTAATTTACTTCACTGTTTTATTATTTAATGTTTTTCCCTCCATAGATGTGTATATGAATAAAGTGTATTTATGTCATATCAGAATCTGTCCCTTTTTTATGCAACTTTTCTTGCTCCTACTTTTAAAATAGTTCATTGTGTCCCATGGGTATAGGGCGCCACCTACTGCAGCATGGGCAACTTAGTGTCACAAACCTGAAGAAAATGGACTTTTCCTCCCTTATAGACCCTCGACGGTCTATTATTCAGGTGGATGTAGGAGACCCTGGGTCCCTCCCTTTGTGTGCTATAGTGTGTTGACTGGCTTGTTCTTATGTGGTCTATGCAGGAAGTCACAGTTGCCGTGAGTTCAAAACTGAAAATGTCATGTTATTTTGCAGCAAACTTCTCTCATCTCTGGCTCTTAAAATCTTTCCATCCCCTCCTACGTGATGTTTCTTCAGCCTCGGGAAGGAGGGCATGCGATTCAGAAGTTCCATTTGGACACTTTGCCATTGTTTTAATTCAGCATTTAAAGTATTTTTCCCTCAACATTTTTTATGGTTTTCTTTTCTTAGAGTTCTTTTGTTTCCTTCTGTAATCTACTAGCTTTAAAGTATTAAATAACCAACCCATTAAACTATTTTATCCAACTTTTGAAATGACTCTCACTAGTGAGAATTATTCTGCAGAGTATATTTCCATTCCTTTTTATGGAAAGCCAGACATTTTATATGGGGTAGAAGATTTCATGTATCATCAGAAGCAAGTTACGTAGTCTTAAAATTTGTTTTTACCTCTAATTTGTGTTACTTATTCCTGCCACAAGAGGGCAAAAGCATCTCATCTGATATTCAAGTTGCTAAAAAGCGACCAAAAGCGTGTATGATCTGACAGTATCTGTTTGATGGTGACAAATACAACAGCCCAGACAATCAGGATTGCATTAAGAGCTTGTGAATGAAAACAAGGCAAATGCCCATTTGGTTTTGTGCAACAAGGCTCTGCCTTTAAAACAATAAAGTGAACTCGTTGTGAGGAAAAGCAGGACTTGTTTAGGGGATTGCCTGTTTCGGAGATTACTTTTCAACAAGTTACAAAGTTTCCAAGATGTTTCTCAATGAATGACTCTATGTAGACGTCTGATTGTGCACCGAAAGTGCATTTGACAGGATTTGGGGACACAGTTGGTTGTTACGATTGATGGGGTGCAGTGGGGTACAGTATGGACAGAGATGCACCGTTGATAACCATGCTACTTGCACAGGACAGTCTCCCCCACCCCATCCCCCACCACAAGGAGTTCTCTACTTCAAAATGCCAACATTGTCACTGTTGAGAAACCTTCATCTGAGTCAATTCATGCTTTTATAAGGATGCAGAGAGGTTCTGTAAAACTTTTTTCTTATTTTAACTGAGGCCAAGAAGGTGGAGGTGGTGGCAGGGTGGGGGTGGTGGCAGGGGGCACTGAACAACTGATCAAGTTTCAAATTCCTCCTCAGATCCCATTTAATTAAAATAATGTTTTAGTTCACTTCACACACACACACACACACACACACACACACACACACACACACACACATCACTGTACTTTGATTCATGTTCACCCCAATACCTTCCAATACCTTCCCCCTCCCCCTCCCCAACTGTTTTCCTTCTGCCTTGCTCACACTGACTTAGAAGTGGACAGGAGTTTTTCCTTGCTCTCTTCTTCTGTTTCTTCCTGTAATCTGAGACCCAAACACAATGTTTTGCTTTTTATTTTAAATAAAATCTTAGTGTTGTCGGAGCTTCCTGTGCTTGGGGTCAGAGTGTGCCCTTCACATTTTAGCGAGGCATCAAAGTAATTGAGAACACCAAGTCACCTCTTTGAAGATTGGCTATAGTTTCTATTGGTGCAACAGAGTACTGTGGCCAAAAAGCAAATTGGGAAGGAAAGAGTTTATCTGGCTTACACTTCCATGTTGCTATTCATCATTGAAGGAAGTTGGGACAGGGACTCAAGCAGGGAAGAAACCTGGAGCCTGGAAGCTGATGCAGAGGCC